GAGAATCGCACCAGAGAGTCGCGCGCGCGCGGCGACCGGAAGCCGTGCCGACCTCGACGCAGCACGGGGGCCCTCAGGGGATAGTGTGATTCGAGAGAGGTTAGGGAGCGCAACACAGCGCGCACGCGCGAGCACCCGGTGCGCGCGACGCGGCACGAGTACGGCAGCAGGAGCGGGGGGCAACGCGGCCGGCGCACCGACCACGACAGGGCTCCCCGAGGTGGTTTCCCCATAAAAGGCGCCGACGGACCCAGTGGAAGCCAGTCGTAGCTCGACCAGCACCGCCAGCACATCGACGTCCTAAGGAGACTCGTTCCTCTGGTCACATAGATCTCACCCCAAGTCACTTTTTGTGTTTGTTATCGTATTTTTTCCCTCCGTCTCGTCGAAAAGAATCACCATGCAGACTGCTGTGGTATTGCTCTCCTGCCTCGCCTACGTCAGCGCTATCCCAGTGCTGTTTCTCACTTATTCAGGTAAGAAATGTTTTGTTCAAGCATCCACACGAACAGGTTTTGAAATTAGCTGTCTCATTTCATTTAAGTTATGGAGCTCCCGTCTCCAACCTATTATATGTTTTTTTTCTGTGGGTTTTTCCAAAGGCGTTCGTTCAAAAACTTAGCAATATACATTAAGGAGATAAATGTTAGTTTCATTTTTTTTAGATTTTGCACATTAGATATACATATATTTGCACCAAAATCTTCCTTTGCAAACGTCTAATTACCTGGATAAATCTCAAACGCTAATACTTATTAGTCCAAACACCATTATCTCAACTCATGTTATATTAATACTTCAAAGACCACGTATATGGTTCCTAAGAATATTAAGTGTTCCTCATGGAGCCCAACCTTGGTGTCTTCTGAAATACCTGTTTCTCGTTGAAGGTTAGAAGCTTAGGCAGGTTACTGGCGGGAAGATCAGTCAGTTTTCCGGTGTTTTTTTGTTTCTTTTCATTCGTTCAAGTGCATTTTTCTCTCTCTTTTTTTATCGCCGTTCGTTGCAATAGACCAAGCGCTGTTTATTTCGTAACTCGGATAATTTCTTTTGTGTTACTTCGTGTCTGGGTATTTCACCCGGTGGCGATCCCATGACAAGTGGGTTTTATCCTACTTTTATCCTTCTTTTCCTCTCTCCCTCCCTTCTTCTCTTACGATAGAAGTTTTATCCTTCTTTCCTCTCTCCCTCCCTTCTTCTCTTACGATAGAACCATCTCTCTGTTCTCTTCTTCTTCTTCTTTCTTCCCCGTTTCCTTAATTACGATTTTATGCTCGTTCTTATCTCCCTCTTTCCATCTTTATCGCACACCTGAGCGCACTCTAAACGTCCCTTTGTTCAAGTTCGTAGAAGAAAAGGCCGTTGCATTTGCCATAGATAAAACGTAGATAAAAGGTGCATTAACAAAACAAGGTCATCAGTCAGTTATGTTATCAACAAAGGGGTTCAGTAAGGGATGATAAGAGAGAGATAGGTCCGGATACCTTCAAAAGGTGCTTGTGATTTGGGTACAAGTATATGTATGTCCTTTAGTCTCACATACACACACACACACACACAAGGATTCTCCAGAACCCCCGACACAAGAAACACCTTAAAGTATTTCCACGTTGGGTGAGCATGCAAGGACGCCATCCCACAGGAAATGCACACACACGTACATGCACTCACCCACACTCACACGTATACCCACCCATTCACACGTACACCCACACACACACTCACACGTACACACACACACCGATAGAGCGAGAGAGAGAGAGACAGACAGACAGACACGCAAAAAAGACACAAGAAAGAGATTTGCCTTCGTGCCAGAGAGACGTTCTTCAACCCGTTAATCTGAACAGCTTTGGAGGTCGTTCATGGAACTCACATCTTCATTGTTAGGTGAGAGGAAGAAGGGATAATGATGATAAAGAGGGATAAAGAGGATGAGAGTGATAAGGATAGGGATAATGAGTTAAGGATGAGAGAGATAAGGATAGGGATAAAGATTTAACGATGAGAGTGAGAAGGATAGGGATAAAGATTTAAGGATGGGAGTCATAAGGTTAAAGAGTTAAGGATGAGAGTGATAAGGATAGTGATAATAAGGTTAAGGATAAGTGTGATGATGGTAAGGAGGATAGAGGATGAGAATTTAATGAGGATAAGGACATGGGTAACGAAGCTAAGGATAAGGGGGATAAGATAAGGAGGATAGGGATAACGAGGCTAAGAATGAGGGTAATAAGGATGGTAGGATGAGGGTGATAAGGATAAGGGGGATAGGATGAGGAAGTGGAAGTAGGAATATGATATTTAATGATGAAGTAGTAATCAGATGAACAAAAATATTGGTGATGATTCATTAACAAGACGAAGGATAATAATGATAATTGATAAGAATAAAATAGACAATAAAAGAATTTAAATGGAATTTCGTTGGTAACAGTAATAGCAATCAGTCATAAGGTCGAAAATAGTATGAATTCAGTAACAACTCAGCACCCGTATTTTCACTCATTTCACCCAAGAAATTGTAAATTATACCCTGTAGTTATAGATTTTTGCCGCAACTCTCACCAATCATGATAATTATACCGGAAATAATTAACGGAAGTAGATAATAAACGATTTTTTATCCGTTTATTGGAGTCCATTAGGGTTGTCACGATTTTGTCGCAAAAAAACTCGAGTCACTTAGTATAATTAAGAAAAAAGATACCAAAAGATACCAGGATAGAGAAAGATATACAAAGACGATACCACGATAAAGAAAGATATACAGAGACGATGATACCCCGATAAAGATAGGGAATTAAGGAGTAACTAATCATTATCTTAATCTTAGGCTAAATACTTCCGTTGTAAAAGAATGGTTTCGTACGACCTTATATCCTCAAAAGTCCCTAAAAAGTCCCTCAAAAGTCCCTCAAAAGTCACGTGATACCCTGTTGCATCCCTGTTTTGCAACTGACACGCAACAGGACGTGGGTCAACTGTCGAGGCCTCTGTGGTTGGGACAGGTGGAGTGTCGACAGCCGTTCGACAGTCGACATTTGACCCTGTGCGAGTCTGTGGGAGAGTGAGTGAGTGAGGGAGCGACTGGGTGAGAGGGTGAGTGAGTATTTAGGGGAATGTGTGTGTGTGTGTGGATGTTTGAGTGTGTTTGGGTGGATGTTTAGGTGTTTGGATGTATGTTTGTGTGTGTGTTTGGATGTATGTTTGGGTGGATGTTTTAGTGTGTGTGTGTGTGTGTTTGGATGTGTGTTAGTGTGTGTGTGAGCGTGTATTTGAGTATACATATGCGTATGGTCATTAGGTACACTTACACGATTTTCCCACAGTTAAACTAACGAAAAAGAGCAAATTTCATCCCAATTATTCTCCTGCTATAAAACAAAACACATCCACCCTCTTACGAAAGACAGAACCAAGGATATATTACATAAAATTAAGAAAAAAAAAATTTGGTTAGAACGAACCGCCATTTTTGGTCTCGCGGAGTAACTTCCCCCACGAATTTCACAATCTTTCTGAGGACTTCTTCGCCACGGTGCTCCCAGGGCCGCCGAGGTTGTCCCAAAAGTCCTTCTAGTATCCTTGCCTCCTGCCAAAGAGTCTTGTTACCAACGCCGAGCCTCTGGGATGCTAAAAAACCGCTCCGGTGTCGACATTAATTTCATATTCTCCATCACGCTTGCGGAATATTATTATTGTTCTATCTTTTTTTTAACGCTCTTGAGTCAGTGCATGTAAACACTCAAAACCAGCGTGTTTTAATTTACTTCATCACGCTTGTAAAATGCTTAAAATTTTATAAATTATTTATCCTGTTTATATATAAATGTAACCATTCAACCTGTATTTACACATACGCTCCCTCTGCCTCGCCCCATAACCCCGCAGACCATATAAGTTATTTCATGTGTTGCTATTCGTCTTAAACTTTTTTCTCAATGCATCATCACGCTTGTAAAATGCTTAAAATTTTATATATCATTTATCCTGTTTATATATCTGTAAACAATCAACCGTTATTTACACATACGCTCCCTTCGCCTCGCCCCATAGCCCCGCAGACCATATAAGTTATTTCATTTGCTGCCATTCGCCTTAAACTTTTTTCTCTTGAGTAAATGCATGTAAACACTCAAAACCAGCCTGTTTTAATTTACATCATCACGCTTGTAAAATGCTTAAAATTTTATATATCATTTATCCTGTTTATATATCTGTAAACAATCAACCGATCTTTATACATACGCTCCCTTCGCCTCGCCCCATAGCCCCGCAGACCACATAAGTTATTTCATTTGTTGCCATTCGTCTTAAACCTTTTTCTCTTAAGTCAATGCATCATCACGCTTGTAAAATGCTTAAAATTTTATATATTATTTATCCTGTTTATATATCTGTAAACAATCAACCGATCTTTATACATACGCTCCCTCTGCCTCGCCCCATAGCCCCGCAGACCATATAAGTTATTTCATTTGTTGCCATTCGTCTTAGCTCATTGGACGGGGGAGGTTGGTCCGGTTGAGCAAAGGAAGGCACGGTTATATACAATTATTCATTCTGGGAGGTGGGAAAGGTGAACACGTAACTCTTTGCGTTCTCTGTCCGTCGCTGTTGTTTTTTTCTTTGTCTTTCCCTTTCTCTGTCTCTTTCTCCTCTCTTTCTCTCTCACTCTGTGTCTCTTTCTCCTCTCTCTCTCTCTCTCTCTCTCTTTTTGTCTGTCTCTTATTCATCTCTCTCTCTATCTATCTATCTATCTATCTATCTATCTATCTCTCTTTCTCTCTCTGTCTTTCTCTCTCTCTCTCTCCTCCCTCCCTCCCTCTTTTGATCTATATATCCTATCTACATATTTCTCCTATTTTTTCCCTCTTTTTCTTACCTCTCCCATCTCTACTTCCTCTCATATCCATCCATTCCCTCTCCCCTCCCTTCCCACTCTCCCTTCCACTTGTCCCCTCTCTGGTTTTATTACCATCAAATTATAATAATTGCGCATCATTTACTTTTTCCCGGTTAGAGAGAGAGAGAGACAGAGACAGACAGACAGACAGACAGACAGAGACAGAGAAAGGAGAGAGAGAGGAGAGAGAGACGAATAAGAAAATGAAGCCAAGACTGAAAATGGTAATTGACTTCAATGAGCTGAGGAAGACCTTGCCTCGTATCAGATGCTCACACTCCATCCCTCCTTTTTTCTTTGGCACATTCTGGGTCTTTTTGCTGTGTGCCGCGAGTGCAAGATGCTCATGTGCGTGTGTACGTGTGTATACATGTGTGTGTGTGTATATGTGTGTGAGTGTGAGAGAGAGAGAGAGAGAGAGAGAGAGAGGAGAGAGAAGAGAGAGAGAAAGACAGACAGAGGCAGAGCGAATATTCGATTAAGTGAGTGAGTGAGTGAAACGGACAAGAGACAGAAGATAGACAGAATATGGCCAGAAATTTCCCAGTGAATTGCCTTATTATAAGT